ATCCTGGTACTTTCAAACCTACAGTTTGCCATTATTTTATTAAACTGTTAGCTGACAAAGAAATGCTTTTAAGACACTACACACAAAATATTGATACCCTTGAGAGAGTAGCTGGAATTCCTGGAGAAAAAATTGTAGAGGCTCATGGTACTTTTCATACAGGACACTGTCTAGAATGTGGAAAGGAGTACAGCCAAGATTGGATGAAAGGTTATTATAAGAAACTTCAGATAAAAACAGATTTTCTTATTTCCTTATTCTGAAAGTTGCATCTTATGATTATTTGCAGCAGGCTCAATAAAAAGGAGATAAAAAAGTGTATTTTCAAAGTAGTGATGGTCTGTTCATAGAAACAACTTGTATATAATTTTAACTTATCTTGAGAGTACAAGCATTCATTTCATTTAACATATGTATTTAATTCAGTCAATTTCTCATGGGAAATATAGCTGTTGAGAGTGTTGAGTTGGAATTGAATATAAATTGGATATAAATAATATCTATGAACATTGAACAGACCATAAGATCCACTTACTTCCACCTAATATAATATAGTTGTGAAGGAAGCCAAAAGAAAGACTTTCGTGCGCTCCAAGGGATAAAAAAAAAAACAAAAAAAAAATTGAAAATTAAGACAATTTTACCAATTCAATTCAAAGCTTGATGAGGTCAAATTATTTAAAGAATACAATAAAAGAAAAAAAAAGTTTGAATGGGAAATTAATTGTTCCATCAACCCTCGAAAACATGTAACAGATTTTGGTAATTTATTAACTTTTTTCATATATCTGATTGCACTTTCAGCACATTGAATGAATTGGAGATTTAAGTAGATAGTACAGTGGTATTGACTATGAATTTCATGACTGAAAACTAATATCTGGGAAAAAGTCAATTTATCTGAGATTTCATAGAACTAAGATGGCTTGTAGCCATCTTACATAGAACAGATAAATGGGATGCCACATTCAAAGGATGTTACATTTATCTTATTTCACCTTTAAGGTGGCTATAATTGACTGGTGTAGCAACTCTTCAATTGTTTCTGGAAGGAATGTGTCGATCGATTTTAGCATAGAACACAACCAATAAGGCTAGTTTTTTCTTAATTCTTAGATGACGTGAAGGTCCCGGTCAGTAACATAGGAATTCCGCCATGTTGACATTGATTGTCATATGTGTCAAAATTCAATATTCGATTTTGGCGGCATGAATATTCCCAGTTTTAGGTTAGTCAAAGTTTCATTCCTCCAAAGTTCGGAAGTTTTGTCATGCTTAAGGTGGCTATAATATAGCCACCTTATTCACCTTCAAGCATTGAAATTCTGATTGTGTATTACTATTGTTTCAATAGGATGAAGATTTTCTGCATACTAAAGGGAAATTTAGAAAAAATATAAAACATGTACATTTTTTAATCAGAACATGATATTTTCAAAAATATGCACTTATTCTTATTATACAGGGGGTTCCTTTAAAAAATAATCTTTTTTTCTTTAAAAATGGAATGAAATAAATGTCTCATAGTTTGAAAGGTAATGACATCCCATTCAAATTTGTTTTTCAGAAATCACTCATGAATGCCAACTTTCTCAGAGGGAGAATGCATTGCTTAAGTTTTTCAAAACCTGAAACAACTTGATTCATTTCCAAGATATCAACTGTATAGTGGTGAAACCCATAGTCAATCACCCACAATACACTAGTTCTTCCTATAAGTAACTAACACCATGTTGCTAAATTCATTACATACTCTGTGTGGATTGGTGAGTCTGCATGGAACTTTTATTTGATTCCTTGAACATTCCATTGGATGGAGATACATCAGTTGGTGAATTTAGCAATATGGTAAAAGAACACCTCTACAGTTTAAATGAGATGTTAATGAACTGTCATAATAGAAGTAGAAAGAATTTGTATATGGGGTGTTTCATTGGGTGAATAAAGTTCACTTTGATTGATCAAGGTATACCATATATACCACCCTGTATAGTTTTCCGATATTTGATATACATATTCTTTTTCATCACCCAAGAAACGAACATGTTAGTGGGTAAAATATTCAGGTCAGTATTACAAAGATTCAATACATTTCTGTTTTAGTAAAGATTTTTGCAAATACTACACCTATCTGTGAAAACTGCCCAGGAATTGTGAAACCCGATATCGTTTTCTTTGGGGAATCATTGCCTACAAAGTTTCACAAGCTGCTAACTACAGATTTTCCAAAGTGTGAATTACTCATTATATTGGGATCTTCTTTGGCTGTTCAACCTTTTGCATCTCTTGTGGATAGGTAATAATTATGCATTAAAAATAAGTTATATCCTTGTTGGAGTAAAAAGAAAATAAATACAGTTCAGGGTGCTCCTATTGAAATAAAATCCACTGCAGTGATTTCATTTTTGAGAGATTTTATGTTTTTCTCTGCAGGGTATTTTTGATATTAGATCCATCAATAAAATATATTGTCGTGTGAGACATATAATAACAGTAAAATGCAAACAAAATTGTTTGACGAAATATGTTCACTTACCCATATAATCATCCATTCGCTGAAAGAAAAACCTCGGCTGTCAATTATTCACTGAAGATTGTAGATTGTAGATGGGTCGTATAGGCTGGGAGACCTCTCGATCACTGCGACCTGGAAGATCTATTGTGATTACCCCTATCTAGTTTTGGTTCTCTAACCCTAGACTTCTGGTGAAGCCTACGATTTTCCTGACGTTTGAATTTTCCACTTCAGCAGGGGTGAGATAGACCTGTTCTAGGTGGTTCAGCCTTTGGTGGACTAATACTTCACATGAGCAAAGTATGTGTTCCGCGGTTTCGGTCGCATTGTTACAAAAGCGGCAAGTGTCAGTCTCCGCAAGGCCCATCTTTTTGAGGTGGTACCTCAGAGGGCCGTGTCCTGTGAGAAAGCCTGTGATAAGCTTTAGCTCTGGTTTGCTGAGGCTGAGTAGCTCTTTGGCTCGGTTCTGCGAATGGTTGATGAACCTTTTCGTTTGTCGTTGACCTGGAGTTGCTCTCCAGTAGGAGGACTTTTCAATTTCTTCTCATTTCCTGAGTTCTCCCTTTAGGTGACATTTGCTTATCCCACAAAAAGGCTCAGGACCAAAAAGTGCAGATGCTGCACCTTTTTTTGCAAGGCGATCAGCTGCCTCATTTCCTTTGATTCCTTCATGCACTGGAACCCACATAAGTGTGACTTTGTTGCCCTTTCCCAGTTGCATGAGTGTTTCAAAGCAGTCCCATGTAATCTTTGATGTGAAATCGAATGATTTTAGGGCTTTTAGTGCGGCTTGGCTGTCTGAGCAGATATATATGTTGGCACCCCTCAGACCTTTGCTCAGGCACCTTTGGGCGCAAAGGTTGATGGCATGTATTTCAGCTTGGAAGATAGTGGGGGAGTGACCTAAGGCTTCAAATAGCCTACATCCGGGTCCATTATACACCCCCGCCTACCTCTTCTTCCATTTTCGAACCATCGGTGTACCAAACAAGGGACCCTCTGTCCAGCTGAGGCTCAGCGGAACCGTACCTAGGGCGGCTTTTTATAACCACTTCAAATGTATGATCGAAACTCAGCCTGGCTTGCATTATGTCCGATGGTTTGGTTGCAGATTCCATTTGTACTTCTGAAGTACACTGTACTGAAGGGAAAACCCTGAATATGCAATCAAATTTTGAACATTCTGGTCACGTGTTCAAGGTTATATGTAAATTTCCTACTTCTTGTGTTGTGATTATGAGAGTTATGGTTGTATCTCAACTTATTTTGTTGTTGATCTAAAACATTCAAAACTTTTATTTCAAACATGAATTAGAGCTTAACAATCTCTAACCGAAAACCACTGAAACGTTTGATGCGAGCATTTTGACAGTATGGAGTCAACATGGCCCATGACAATCATTCCCATTATTTCCATAAACCAGTTTCAGAATTGGGTGTGATTTTCATTTTCCATTTCAATATAATGAATAGATTGTTCATATAGTATATGTAGTAGAAAGTTCAATAGTTAGTTGAAATGTTTCTCCATGGTTTTGTCATATATCATTCATTTTATGATTTTTAATTGATTTTAGGGCTCCTAATGATGTCCCCAGACTTCTTCTGAACCGAGAGAAGGCAGGTCATCGTACAGGCATGATGGCTATGCTGGGAATGAGTGGAGGAATGGACTTTGACTCCAAAAATAACACTAGGGATGTGTTATGGTTGGGTGACTGTGATGATGGATGTCAATTGTTGGCTGATAAGCTGGGATTTGGAGTAAGTCATGATTCTCATTATAGTGTTTTCTGATTAATCTTCAGTGTGTTTATTTTTTGTTTGGACCCCTCCTATTCATAATATATGTCAATGACATATTCTATCACCTTCAGCCATCCGATTGCATTCTTTTTGCGGACGACATTACTTTCTTCCACTCAAGCAACAGTACTGCCACATTACAACAAAATGATCTCACCACACAAAACAAAGTAGACGAGAAAACTCAAAAAATTGGCTTTTCTATGAATAAAGATGTCTCTCACGGCAATGTTAAACTCTTTGGGATGACTAAACTCAAATGGTACGACCATATTGATTATCTAAGTAAAAATCTATCCACTCAAATTTTTTTATTAAGAACTTTGAAGAAATCATTCAGCTCAACGGCCATCAGAATGTCGTATTTCTCACTTTTCCATTCACATCTGGTCTACGGAATAACCTTGTGGGGCAACTCCTCACAGGCTGAACGGATATTTATCCTCCAAAAAAAGGTCGTCAGAATAATTTATGGTGCAGGACCCAGGGAGGCATGTAGACAGATATTTTCAAAATTGAATATTATGACTTTACCAGATTTTTATATATTTCATTGTCTTTTAGAGATTCACGAAAACATTCATTTATTTATTAAGCATAATAACATACACAACTACCATACAAGAAATAGAAACTCCTTAAATGTCGATCTGTACAATAAACTTCCCGATAATAATTATAAAAACCAGAATACCACCAAATTTAAAACGTCAATCAAACAGATGTTACTGAGGTTCAATTTTTATTCTATTAGAGAATATCAATGTGCCGAATTTACTGATTAACACGGAATACGGACCTTCCCAGTGACACAGTATCTCTCCATTTTATCGACCGTAAAAAGCTTCCTACTTGAGTATGTTTATGTTTGTCTCAACTTGTTTTATATTTGTTATTATCATTTGTTTGTATTCTACAAGTATTCAAATGATTACCCTGTATACTACTGACGAGTGTAATTGAAAGTATTTCAAATCACTAAATTTATATCTATATATCTATCTATCTATAATGCATTCAAAACAAAAGTTAAATTTCAATGGATATAGAATGAATGATTTTTTTCGGCAATCGGCCAAAGTCGTCCATTTTCGTTCCGAAATTAGCTCTTGAAGTTGACGTTTCTCTTACTGACAGAATAAAATGATTAGTATGTATGTTGCTATGCAACACTTTTAGTGTCTAGGAGCTAAAGCTGAAGTTTAACTCCTAGGAACTAAAAACGTGTCGGATGACAGCTGACTTTGACACTGATATGCTCAAGTGACTCATTATAGTGGTATTATCAGGTACATTTCATTAATGAAATATCAATAATTTCGATTACAGAAAAAATAGCATGTTTCATTCTAATCAAAAGTGACTCTGTTCAACTCGCAAAATTTGCATGTCACATTTTTTGATCCTAATAAAACATTGTACTATTTTTTTTTTACTTTTTTTTTATCCGTCTCATTGATGTCGAAAAAACAATATAAAACACCATAATTCTCAGCTGATAAGTTGTTGATTTTAATACTTACTATATTATCTAACCTTTACCTCTATTAGGAAGAACTGAAAGAATTATGTAGAAGAGAACATGAAAAAATCGATAAGGAAATTGAAAAAAACAAAGAGAAACCAAAACCACAGGACAAAAAAGACCAGAAAAAAGAAGTTGGACCCGCAGAGAAAGTAAAAGAAAAATTGTGAATAATATGCTACTTTAATTCACAAAAAAAATGTTATGTGTTATTTATAATTATTATGATCAAATATAAATAATTGTTCACAAATTAAATTAGTAACTCCTTCCAAATAGTGTATAGTATAAAGGTTTATTTGTGCATGCTGGATGAATGCATTTATCCGTTGGTTTTATGTCAGCAGGTTGTTCCAGTGGTATGCAAAGAGATTTTGCTCCCATAGATGGTGCACCTGGTTCAGCATTATCTCCATCATCCCTAGAAAATCGTCAAAATTGAAATATTTCATAAATACTCACCCATATACAAATAGCAAAATATCGAACATTTCAATAATTTGAAATTCAAAAGGATGCAATATGAAATTTTTCCAGCCCCGTTTTTCATTGTCCAAAATAAGTTTTTGTGTAAGACTAAATATACTAGTTTTTTAAAAAGCACACATTTTTTATGAAAATTAATATTCCAACTTTGCATTCAGATATACCCAGAAAATATGTTTTAACAAAAACACTAAGAAACCTAGATATTTCAATATCTAACCATATCATATTTTTTGCTTTTGGAAAAAGTCGATTCTGGACTAATAAACGTTGATGTGAATATGGTGCAGATAAATCTGGATTTAGTATGGAAACAAATTTTTCCTAAGCTATTAGTGTATTTATACTATATTCCAAATGAGAAGATAGTAGTAGGTGGCGCTGCTTAGAAATAAATATAATATGGCGCCGAATTCGAAATCATAGCTATTTTAATCCAATCAAAGCAAAGCTCAACGCTTCCCTATGGTTTCCAATGCTTTCTTCCGGGTTGGAACGGACAGTAGCTATACATATCTTGAAATCCTGAATAATGTCTCAAGAGTCCCCCAGGTAGGAGGCTATGTCAGATATTTGGCAACAATGAGGGCTAACATTAGCGTGAGGTCAGAGTTGATTCAACTGATGAAATTACTTCCTCTTTTCCTGTCATTTTCTTCTTCTCCGTCAATTTAAGAATTATGTGAGTGGACTATTTTTTTTTTATTTCTTAAATAAAATCATCACTTAAATACCTTTCAATTCCATATTTTCTCAGAATTTTTCGGTCGATTTTTAGGTGCTAAAATCATCAACAATGCCACGGTAATTTCCAAACGGATAGGAATTTACCACGAGTAGGCAGACCATAGCACAGTTGTCATGGTTGAAGTACGATTGGGAACCTCAGAAATATTCTAAATACTTTTTCTCAAATATTTTCCATAAAACATACCACAATCTTAAGTGCGAATTGGCAAAATTTTGGGATTTTTGACATTGACATTCTAGTAGCGCCAACTGGTGAGACTGGAGATTTTTATTACCTTGCACTCTCTGCTTTTATTCTATCTTCACAATTGCTGTTGCCACAGAAGGGAGCTAGGATAATATTCTTTTTATCCAAACTGGGGCCGAACCGAGACCAATCCGTCAAGATGATTTTGTGGCTTTCCAAGTCGTTATTTGCTCTGAAAAAATGATTTAATTTAATCCAGATTGAATGGAAATATAGGGAAAACACCTCACTTTTGGAATAAGCTGTTTTGGATGTCTTCCAATAATTGCTCTAGTTTCTGGACAGCATTAGCACGGGAAATTGTTATTTTTTCCCCAGTATCTCTCCTCACTGCTACTAGTTGATTCTTCTCAATATCTTTTGGCCCAAGTTCTATGCGAATCGGAACGCCCTGGAAAACATGGAAATAAATGCATTATATTGATGATTGATGGCTGCAATCATCATTACATGTTCAATCATTCTGATTGGTATGTTCTCTATTTGAGTCGCTCGTACGCATGTGTGAGCAAGAAATGCTTGCAATGTCAACCTTTTTCAAAGAAAATCACGGTTGAGCATGACAAATAATAAATTCTCATGTTTCTATTCTATGTGTTTGTAGTAAGTTATGAGAACTATATGAGGTGGATTACACAAACAGTAGTATTTAGTGGAATTAATACCTACCTATTCGAATTTGACAAGATGAAATGGGATGTGAAAATATTACTCAATCTTACTTTCATTATTACTGAAAACTTTATTATGCACAACAATGCTAGAAATTGATGTGAACGCAGCACTGGATCGTCGTTGTGGTTTGTGGAAGTGAAGAGAATTCTCGATGAATGATGAATACTGTATTCCATTCAACTTTACCAACATAACTAATGCTAAAATGTGCATTCCATAGATATTCATTACTTGTTTTATAATTATGTTCTTCCTCATACCAGAACTTGTTCTCACTGGAAGATATGTTTGATAAATAAAGAAATAAATAATTTGTGAATAAGTTCTTTTCAAGCACTAATGCAAAATCGTCTAATTTACTGATTTATAAACTAAATAAATGCATTTATGTAGTTTAGTATATCCTTCACATGAGTTAATGAATTCATAGGCGAGGAAAACAATCAGATAATTAAATTTTTTATGTATTAGGACACCCCACGTTGGGCGCCAATTGACGTGGGTGGTTTTCAGTTACTATCCAATGATTAGAAATAACTGAGGGGTAGAACTTTATTAACTCGTATACACACTTCACCGCGTACAGAAAAGCATAGAGGAAACAACAGACACAACTACTGAATGTTATGAGTCAAAATTGGATCAGAAAATATAATAATTTTTTTGACAGATTGATGACATTTGTTGATTACTTGTCTTTCCTCTTGACATGCGTATCGACAGGGTGAAATTCACCTCGCCACAGTTTTCAAACAGTAATTTATTAAAAGTCCAATCCATATTTTTTACCTTCAGCTCCCAGTGATTGAACTTCCAGCCAGGAGAATAGTTCAACCGATAGTCTCCTTTTACTTTCACATTGGCAGCTCTCAAGTCGCGTTCTAAAGCATCACACGAAGATTGTAAATCATCGCGTGCTTTTTCAGACAACCCAGCCGTAATTCCACAGGGGACAATAACTATTTGAATGGAGGCTACTCTTGGTGGTAGGACTAGACCTTGGTTATCAGCATGCACCATTATCATCACTCCTAAAATAATAAAATAATTTTGAATTAACTCATCCCTTCACTAAAAAATATTTCACCATTTATAAGATTGTATATGTAATTCTCTAGAAAATTAGCAATGTGGCAACAACAATATATTTTTTTTTGTTTTATTTAATTTCTTCTGAAAATGTATTTATATATTGAGGGAGAATTTTCATAATGTAGCGTAGGTATAATTATTTTATTTAAAAAAATAGTGGTTGAGGCTTAGCCGTTTAAAACGAAAATATTGGAAAAAGTTGCAAACACAATAGTGTATTTCTATCAGAATTTTTTCAAACATTATTATACCCACCTACTGTCCTTGTTGTAAATCCCCACGAGTTCTGGAAGCAGTACCGTTTTTCCTGTGTCTCGGGATCTTCGTAAATTATATCGAACATTTTGGAAAAGTTCTGCCCCAAATGGTGGGAGGTTGCACCCTGAATTCCCCTACCACTAGCCGATACGAAAGCTTCTACAGTCAAGGTGTAGTCACCGCCGGCGAATTTTTCTTTTTCAGTTTTTCTGCCCTTCACCACCGGAATTGCTAACAAATCTGTGTATATTTTTGCATACAAATCTGAAATAAAAATAGAGAAACCGAATAAAAAACGACGATTGGACTGTTTTTATTCACAAGCTTAACATTACAAAATTTAACACTGAATGTACCCGAAGTCGCGACTTGGAGTAGATCAGACAATAGTAGTAGTACAGGCAGCAGATCCATGGTTTTGTAAATTGGATAAAACCTCGATGAGAATACACAAATAGTTATGAATTTATCCAATTTTTGAGGCGTTTGAGTTCACACACGGTTTGGAATAAAGTGTCATCCAAATAGCGCTCATCAGATTTCAGATTGATTAATTTGATCATGTTATGTATATACAAATACATTTATGACAGGTCACATGGTAGAATAAACATTTTTAGTAAAATAAATATACAAATAAGTACAATAAGATAAGAACATATAAAGACAAAATATGGTATAGACTTCCTAAACTAATTGCTACAGAAAATATTGAAAAAAAAACAGTTCACAATTTCATCGGTAGATTGGAGCATACTGTGAGTATATTATGTAAACCCTGTTTCATGAAGTTTGTATATTCCTCAAGGGAGTAGAAGGCATTTTCAATCAGACATGATTTGATAGTTTTTTTGAAGTTGAATTTATTCATATCTTTGACTTCAGTGGGAAGAATATTCTATAGGCTATAGTTAATTGAATTCTTTTTCGATTTAGTGAGCCGATATCTAGGTAATCTAATAATTTTTGCTCCTCTAGTATCATGGTGATGAACGTCTGAATGCGTTGTTAATATTGGAGTTTTTTTGTGAATATCATTAACCGTTTCAGCGAATGTGGTTTCTGAGGATTGTCAAGGTCCTTGTACTATTTATTGAAACATCCTGTGAGATGTAAATGTGCCTTGTCAAAGAAGAAAACGATATCGCCTTGAAGCAGCATGTTTTCACAAGAGAGTTGTCTGTCTTCAATTATTCTAGGACGACAACGAGATGTTCATTAACTATTCGTTGAATGGAACGCCTCAAATGCCAATAACAGCTTCCTGTTTCCGAATTGAACACCTGAGTGGTTGTAGCATTGCAGCTGGAACCCTTTCCTTTCAAGGTTTTTTGAGGTGGTGACGGTATTTTGAGGCTCCCATTTTATCGTGTACACACCTCCGATATACTGAAATGCATGTTCTCACGCGGAAATTTGGTTACGGGAGCGATATTGAACCTTAAACAGAAGGCACGCTACACACGAACGAACAACCGAGAGTTCTTAAAAACACACGTTCTTGAACGAACCACCCCGTTATACCGACTGAAACCGCGTGGCATCTCTCTCCGAAATGCACCACTTTCAATATACCAGAACAATTAGGAAGGAAGCAATGGTCTTTCAAAGTCCCACGAGCCATCCTGTATAAACATAAATTATTAGTTATTGCTTTCCCAATATGTATATTTATTTCATACAGGTAATCAATGTGTATAAGACTCACTTGGCTTCCATTGCTATTTGAAAATGTCTTCTGGTATTGCTGAAACAAGTGACGATAACTTATTGTCTTCCCCCATTCATCCGCTGGATAAGCCTCTGTATTATGCAGGAACACTTCATTCACATTTTTCTATTACATGACTATTATTTGAAGAAATAAAGCGTGATCTCAAAAAAACTAGAGAAATGAACATTCCACTTCCTGGATTAACCGACAGACAGTTACACTTGGAGAAAAATTAGAAAACATGAAAGAAAACTTGCCCAATATTGTTGTGACCTCAACATCGGCTTCTTCCTTCGAGGCATAGGCAGTGTGACCTTCTTGCCACAAAAATTCTCTCGTTCGCAAGAATGGCTGTGGATGCTTGAACTCCCATCTCTGGAACATCAAAATCATCAAAGGTAATACCATGAGTTCTTCACATTCCATCGATTATTTTTCATTTCCAACGTACTTTTATTTGCAAAAATGCAAAAGCCGATCCACTTTCAACATTTTTCCCGCAAAGTATCGATGCTTACTAATTTTGGTGAGCTTTCGTGATCTAGACCATCAGATTCGAGCAAAACCCGATAATTTACATACAAATCTTCATCTGAAATAAACCCATCCGTGCAAATGCCGATAAATACGAATTTTAAATGACTCTGCCATGGAATGCAAGGTTTGCAGGTTCAAATTCAGTCGTATTTCTCTCAGTACTAGGCGTTGTAGGTACGATTTGATTCCGTTTTTGTTTGATACGATGACTATACTGTTTTGATATGGAGGAAGAATACGCTAGTGCTATTTGAGATAGAAAATAACAGGTTGCCCCACCTGACGGTAGCAACTTGAACACTTCTGAGCGGTTTGTTTTGATATGAACAATAAGCACAGCACACCTTTCACAGCACAAACAAAAAACAAATGCGAACCAATGAAAACAAAGTCAACATGCCGCTTTGACAGCTTTCAAGAACTCCGATAGGTGGTGTACGTTTATTTTCTATCGTGAATAGTGTACCAGAAATTAGTTCAGGATGTAGAAAAAGGAAATGAGGAGAGTCAAGATGGTTTGATTTGGATTAGGAAACCTCACCAGATGTAAAATGGCACAGGCAAATAATACATGGTATCAGCAGATATCAGTTTGACTGACGATAAAGATTTTGAAATAGATGATGTATGTCACTGCCATGAAAAATAACAAGCTCTACATATCTAGTTCAGAAAATTCTTTGATGAATATATGAGTCTACATATTGTTTTATCGCAAATTAGCTCTGTAAATATACAACAGAATGTATATGCCCCTAAATGGTATTTACAAATACCAAGTATGTCTCTATATATACCAAATCATTAATTCTGAGAGGCTGTCTCACCTAACTTTTATCAGGAGAAATGATATTCATCACCATAATACAAGACATAACCATGATTTGGAATGAATGAGGTTCTCTACAACCTCTGGTCAACACTCAATATTTGTCAAGGGTGTCACTTTGTATAATGAGCTCCCTTCCCATATAAAATGTTCTCCAATAATGATATTCAAGAAAAAGTTGAAAAACTTCCTTAATCTCTACTAAACTAGACCAAAATAAATGAATATGTAAACAAGTGTGTACAAAATGTTCTCCAATGCTTTAATAATGTAATCTTGACTGTAAGTGTAATACCTGTGGTAATAATGTAGTTTTAGTTTGTGTTAATTTTGTGTGTAAAGTATGTTCAATGCGAATTCTCAATGTATTTCTTTATATATATATATCCATTTTTTTGTGTCCATAAATATATCTGAGTATATTCCTTTTCAAAAGATCCCTCTATTGTCAATAAATCCGCTGGAAGATGACATTTTGATTCCGAGGAAAGAACAAACCACGTACCTCGTAAATCTACAGACAAATCCCAACATCCTGTGGTCATGGAACGGCTTAACAACATCACACGAATATTACTACGGCCGCCGGCCGTTGAACAAATTCAACGAACGGAGGCTGTTAAAATCAACTTTTCAATTGTCATCTGAATGCCATTAAATCAAAATAACAGAATGGGATTACGAAAATCAATTAACGTACGTAGGACGAATGATAATCTTGTCTTAAATAACATTAAAAAATCTGGGCGATGGAAATACAAATTCATCAGCTAATAGAGTTTGGAAGTATTTGTATAGATTAATTTCATAACCAAATTGGAAAATAATTAATTTAATCAAACAATATATTTTAAAGAGATCATTCGAATGGAACTAAGTGTCAGGATTGTTAACTCAACAGGATTGTCCGTCCGGCAGTAACCAATCAAAAAGGAGAATGGCATATCGTCACACCAATGTATCCAATAATAGAAAACTTCCAGTGTTTTTGGCGAGATTCAAAGAAAAAAGTATTTCAATCATGATGAAAATGAATGCCGCTTTTTTGGCACAACCTCGATTTTCTGTAGGAGTTGATTTATTAATACCAAATGATTGGTTAGATAGTTGATTACTCACCACAACGTTATTCCACTGGTTAAGTTTGATAGGAAGATCTCGATATGACTGAATCCATTTTGCATAAGCTGGGTACATAACAGTTTCAGAAGTAGGCCTGACAGCAATTGGCTCAGCCATTTCTGAGTCACCAGATCTCGTGACCCAAGCTACCTGAACAACAAGTAATAAATCAATGAAATCGTTTAATTTGAAAAACTTCGCCATAAATTAAGTTCAAATACATTCAACTTTGAACTGAGATTTCTGGATTGCTGACGTCAAAGTTTCTCTAACACTAATCTTGACGTTAAGATTACAACTCAATCTTTACCTATTACCTTTTAGAGCTATAATTAATTCAACTTGAAAAACAAACATTACTTACTTACTAAATTTTTTAGACTTTGATATAATAAATTCTTGATAATATATTCTTAAATAATTGAAAGATTTACTGGCAATGTTGGTCTTCTATTACTAATTTTATTCTATACTAATGTTTTGTCTCATTTTGTTTGTTCATATAATTGATATATGAATTTACAAATAATTGTAAATGAATAGAATAATTTTTTTTATCCCTTGGTGTGCACGAAAGGGAATCCCTGTGAATAGAATATGTATTACATTTAGGAAAAGAAACATACAATGCCAAGATAAGATCGAAACTCATAGATTGCCCCAATGGCTCCCGTTCGTTTTGGTCCCTTGCTAAAGCGGTCGGAAGAAATTTCACTAATAGTTCATTTCCACCACTGTCCAAATCCGACGGAACATTAGCAACAACATCGCAGGAGAAAGCGAATATTTTTGCAGAGATGTTCGCAGCAAACTCTACTTTAGATTCCCAAGGAAAACTGCCGCCAGACATTCCACCCGTTGAGAGTCGAATGCCCGAAATCGTCTTCCATCAACGCACTATCAGACGAATTTTGCTTGGTCTCAAAACGAATAAGGCTAACGGTCCTGATGGAATTCCACCCATTATCCTCAAAAAATGTGCACCAGAATTAACACCGATTCTCTGCAAGTTGTTTACCATCTCGTACAGGTCGGGTATTTTCCCATCATGCTGGAAGACAGCTAGAGTCCAACCAATCCCCAAAAAAGGGAACAAGAACCTGCCCAACAACTACAGGCCCATTGCCCTGTTATCAGTAATCTCCAAAGTGATGGAGAAAGCCATCAATATTGAGCTTATCAAATATCTGGAGAGCTCAGGAATCATCAATGATAGACAATACGGCTTTCGCCACCGAAGATCTACTGGAGATCTACTTGCCTACGTCACCCATTTATGGCAATCTTCAATTGAAAAACACGGAGAATCTCTAGCTGTCGCGTTGGACATATCGAAAGCATTCGACCGTGTTTGGCACGAAGGACTCCTCCACAAACTACCATCATACGGCTTACCACCTCAGCTATGCCATCTCTTATCGAGTTTTCTTTCAGGCAGATCGCTTCACGTGGTGGTGGACGGTGTATCGTCTGATACCATTGACATCAATTCCGGCGTTCCACAAGGATCAATTTTGGCACCAACATTATTCCTGCTTCATATCAACGATCTGTTGGGAGTAACAACTTGCCCCATCCACAGCTTTGCAGATGATAGTACCCTCCATACTGCGTTCTCTTCCAGAATTCCCATTTCTTCCCAGGAAACTAAAAACTCACGGCGCAGGCAGGTCAATGCTGTCAATGAAGATCTTGCTGAAATTACAGCCTGGGGAACGAACAACCTAGTTGAATTCAACGCCACCAAAACTCAAGCCTGCATTTTCTCTAGAAAGGCAGAACTCAGTATGCCCGATATTGTAATGTCTGGCTCCACCATCCCCACCAAGCCCACCATATCTATGCTCGGTATTTCCATCAGCAACACTCTTTCATGGGATAATCATGTTAGATCCATCGCAAAAGCTGCTTCACAAAAACTCGGATTCTTGTTCCGTGCGAAAAGCTACTTTACACCTCAACAGCTTCTTATGATCTACAAAGCGCAGATACGGCCTGTTCTAGAATACTGTTCCCACATATGGGGTTCAGCACCAAAACATACGCTGATGCTCTTAGATTCCATCCAGAGAAGAGCCATTCGCCTAGTGGGTGACGCCACACTCACTCACTCTTTAACATCATTGGAACACCGTAGAAAGGTCGGCGACCTTTCACTTTTCTATCGATACTTCCACGGGAAATGTTCTTCGGAAATCTCTGCAATTATCCCTTCACTAGCAATACCAATCAGACGAACTAGACAAGCCCAGTCAGCACATCCTTTCGTTGTCAACCTCGAAAGATGTCGAACAGCTCTTTATCAAGACTCCTTCATTCATAGAACGGCTAGGCTCTGGAATTCATTGCCTGTGGAAGTATTCCCAACAACATATAATCTCCAAAAATTCAAAAAAAATTCCAATACCTACCTCCTGTCCCTATCCTCCCTATGAACGCACGATGTTCTTTGAACATTATAGGGATTCCCTTTCGTGCGCTCCAATCGATAAAAAAAAAAAAAAAAAAAAAAAAAAAAAAAAACACTGTAATTATGTAAATGCTTTTCTGACTAACGCTTTGCTTGAAACAAGTTGTTAAAAATGCATGGCGACCAAAGCCAGAATCTAACACATTTTATCTCCAGAGTCTGAAAAAGAAATTAATAGTCGCGTTCCGTATTTACATCAGACTTTTCCGATGAATCTGAATCGTTCGTTTATGACATCTAGATGTAGGGGAAGTAGATCTCATCCGTTCGGCAATTAAAATCGGAGCGATCTGACAAAGATCTTAATGCTCGGAGAATCTTAATGCTCGACCGAGCTAAGTGATTGATCTGAATTTGTCAGGTTAATGTTCAAATGTTTATGTATGACTGGCAGTTGTGCTCGTATTCGTATTTTCAAAATTACGTTTTCATAATGAAAGAAATACAACTTTTTGATTCTGAGCGAGACAAAACACACACCTTTATGCTGTCAGATGAGAATTATGAAGAAAATGTTGCTTGAATTGCAGGTCAGTAAAATGAGGCACTGTTTCATCGGCAAAATGTTCAACTTTTTCTAAAGCACATCGTTCCTCCATCATCTTCATCAAAAATAATTTGATGTCCCGAAACAAAAGCTAGCACAGTTTCTGGTATACTCATATTGAAATGGAAATAAATGGGGTTAAGTTAGGTTACCGTCACACTGTCAACAAAATGTCCACTTCGTTCTTTTATTGCCGATTGCTCCGATCTATCTGTGACCACGTGACTAGAATCTGCTCTAATCTGCGATGTAAATACCGAACGTGACTAGTGATTCTTCCAAGATTCCGACAAAATAGAAGTTGAAAGTTGGAATACTCCAATTTCAGGTTAAACACATGAAAAACAACATTACAAAAAGCCTTGTATAACAACAGATACATGTACTTACCTCTGGGGCAAAATCAGCTATATGCGACTTCTCTTTTTCCAGCACACTTTTTGATACAAAAATGGGGAAGTAACAATTTTGCACCCCGAGTTTCTTTATTTCAGCATCGAACCAACTGCTGAGAGCCTCCCAAACAGCGAATGACCAGGGCCGAAGAATGTAACAACCAGATACATCATAGTACTCAATCATTTCTCCTTTTGTAATGACCTGAGAGTACCAATCTGAAAGATTTTCCTCCTTTTTAGCTTCCAGACCAAGCCTGGTCTGTTTTTTAACACTACTCTCATCCACCTAGAAGTGAATGAATTTTAATGATGATTGTTAATGCCTTATACACAAATATTTACAACTGGTTTCTTTTCATTGACAACTGATTTCGGTTTGGCAGTTTTTTCGGTTGCTTTGCTTTCTTTTTGTTTAGTTGGAGTTCTGCCTGGCACTGGGAAATCTGTACCTGTTAGATTTTTGTACTCGACTTTCAGATCGAGTAGAATCTTCACTGCTTCGTCAATATCTCCCTTAAAATTATAGATAATTGAACATAAACACATGACTTACAATGATTGCTTCATAGAAATAAAAAGGTTCAAACATTTATGCCATGATTAAAGGGCTAAAGACGGTTATTTGACTATTTTTTTGAAAAATATTAATGAAATATTGATAGGCATGAAACTTGATGATGACAATGATATTATAGTATAAAGTTGAAGAATTATGTTTGAGAATTTTTAGTCACAACATTATTTATTTTACAGAAAGCTCACCTTGCTTGCTTTTTTTGCTTTCAAATCTCTAACTATATTGCCCTGCTCTGTAATCTTAAGTGTTAGAGCATCTTTACCAGAACTGTCTCCAGAAGCAGAAGAAACATTTGTTGCATCCAGGGGTTTCATGGTGGCTTTCAATTCTTTGTCTACTTTCGTTTTTTCTTTACCTGCCTGAGCTGAAGAGAAAAATACAAGTAAAATTACTGGTACAAATTTAAATCACAGACTTATATATTCTATAATGGGGAAGTTTCCTTCCGATGAATTTTCATAAAATAAGTTCGGAACTCTCTAGTTTTATGTCCACGCTGTACAGAATGGCGACCGATAAAGTCCAAGTCGTTTTCATTTTCGAATTAAAGCAATTTATAATTTTCGGGGCGGCAAACTGTGATGTACATTCTGAATCTAGTCTGAAAAAAGCTGATGGTGAAGTATATTGCTGGTGAAGAATATTGCTAGCGAATAGCTAACGAATGAAAAAAATAGAAGAAGTGAAACTGGTAAACAAAAACATACATAACCACAAATGCACTCGGAGCAGGAATGCAGAGGGTAGTTGGCTCCATTCTGACAGGTTATGGTTTTGTTATTTATGCATTGAAATATCTCAAATAGAGCTCGATCCTAAACGAAAATATCATTGAATCACTATCGGCTACATTCAATGATACTATCCTTCCTAACTTTCTGTCATCGGTCAGAATAGAATGAAGCCTACACCCATGGCATCTTCCTCTTGTTGTGCCTGTCAGTATTTTGAATGGTGTGGACGGACTCGAAATATTAGGCGCTGTTGCAAGATATGATCTGAAATTTTCCTAGAAGATAAATCCGTTTTATTAAGGAACGATTTCATTAGCAAATTGTAATATAGCGATAGTGAAAAATTATAGATACTATTGCAAAATATCATGATTTATCTTTATTAGTAAAAGTAAAAGAATTATTCATAATACTGGACAAAGTAGGATTGAAGAACCTATTATATCCCATTGCTGTTATGATATAGATATTATGCATTCAAAGAACGATTTCCGAATATCTAGACTCCTTGATGATGCCTACAACGTCATACTGGCACAGGGAATCGTATTTTAACTCTGGGTGAATATGGATTTTCAGAAAGTACCTACATCATAGGAATGGTGGAGGAGCCAAGTTCCCCCTTTATTCATTTTTTTCTGCGGTGAAATTTGATCTTAGGAAAAAGAGATATATATTAATTTTTTACAAACTTCACAGTGAGATAAAAACCTCAACATGGAAATCTTCCCCATTGCAAATTTTGAGTAATAGATAAAGGTTACAGGTTTAAGACTGAAAATCATACTTGTAACGGTCTCAGGGGTTTGGTGGGTTTACTGATTAAAACATGGATGGTTCAGGAGACTATTTATTCACTTCAAAAGTTCACCAAGATCTCGGGTTGAGAGGAACGTCGAAAACCTAAATATCATATGCACTAATGAGCACCAGGACAGTCTATCACTTGATATAATGGGCGATTAAATTACAAAGGAGCAAAGAAAAGTAGGTACAACTAACATGTGACCTGAAAGGTCGGTCAACAAATCATAAAATAATATAAAAGAGTTTTACCCACCTAAATATCATATGCAGGCACAGGCCAAGATGTTCCAGAGGAACATTGGGCACATAGGAAACCAAAAACACAGAATTTGGGTTCGATCAACGTGGATGTTAAATTATTATTCACTTGGTTGAGAAAACTGCCCGTTCGAGAGTGAAATGACCAGCGCAAGCCATTTCAGAAAATCCCCTCTCCACAACAACCTGACCCTAGGCGCGCACACGGATTTTGAATCTGTGTGAATGAATAGTTGGTTGCCTAGCCTCCCGAAGAATATTTGATAATTATTATTATATTTAAAAGAGAGCATGGGCGGCGACATTGATTTGTTACATACTCTTGGTATATTTTGGGAATGTAAGATGATTTTCCTACCAACCTGATTTCAAAATCCGAACTGACACTTCTTGTTCAGAATTATCATTTCCAACAACACTGTTATCAACTGATATCGGAGTAGCAGGGGACTCTTGGACAGAAGGAGCACTAGGAACTGCACCCGGTTTCCAATCTTTTCCAGTAAGATTTTTGTAGTCTGACTTGAGACCCAAAAGTATTTTGACTTCAGCCTCGACCGCAGCTTTCTCAGCTTTTTTCGCTTTTAGGTCTCTGACTTTCTCACCCTGTGCCGATATGCGTTGTAGAATAGTGGATTCATCCAAGGATGAATTGGTCTGCTGCTTAGTAATAGCCAGAGAGGAAGTCCCAGGTGTCCAGTCTTTTCCAGTAAGATTTTTGTAGTCCGATTTGAGACCTAGCAGTACTTTGACTTCGGCCTCTACCGCAGCTTTCTCAGCTTTTTTCGCTTTTAGATCTCTGACTTTCTCACCCTGTGCCGATATACGTTGTAGAATAGTGGATTCGTCCAAGGATGAATTGGTCTGCTGCTTAGTAATAGCTAGAGAGGAAGTCCCAGGTGTCCAGTCTTTTCCAGTAAGATTTTTGTAGTCCGATTTGAGACTCAGCAGTACTTTGACTTCAGCCTCGACTACAGCTTTCTCAGCTTTTTTCGCTTTTAAATCTCTAACTTTCTCACCCTGTGCCGATATGCGTTGTAGGATAGTGGATTCATCCAGGGATGGGTTTGTCTGCTGGCTAGTAATAGCCGGCGAGGGAGCTCCGGGTGTCCAGTCTTTTCCAGTAAGTGTTTTGTATTCTGCCTTCAATGATAGCAAAGATTTAACGGCAGCATCAATAGTCGCTTTATCGGCTTTCTGAGATTTCAGTTGTCTAACCTATGAAAAAAACTAGAAATATCAATCCAGAGTCAAGACAGTATCATTGATTTATACACGTTGCAAAATATAGATAATCATATTACCGGCAAGTGAATAATAACGTCAGGGTGTGAATTATTCCAAAATATATTTTAAAGGAAAGGACTGGATCACATTATATGAGATATGAGACTGAAGAATTACATCTTGGCGCACAAGTCTAGAAAAAGCAGCAGACAGTATTTGAAATCTATACATATCTACTTCATACGAACGACCGAGCCGAAAAGTATATTCATTAGTTGCGTTTTATTGAAATTGCTAGTGTCACCAGTGGGACAGAATCCCTGTTTAATTGACTATTCTGTAGAATTTCTTACACGTTGCAAAATATAGATAATCATATTACCGGCAAGTGAATAATAACGTCAGGGTGTGAATTATTCCAAAATATATTTTAAAGGAAAGGACTGGATCACATTATATGAGATATGAGACTGAAGAATTACATCTTGGCGCACAAGTCTAGAAAAAGCAGCAGACACTATTTGAAATCTATACATATATCTACTTCATACGAACGACCGAGCCGAAAAGTATATTCATTAGTTGTGTTTTATTGAAATTGGTAGTGTCACCAGTGGGACAGAATCACCGTTTTATTGACTATTCTGTAGAATTTCTTATCATCCTGGTGCCACTGGCCATTCGCTCTCAGAACATCGAATGTGTGGTGGAATGTTTGGAATGTTTGACAAAAAGGGGTATTTGACAAACATCATACTAATTTTGATGTAATGAAAAACTTTGAAAAAAAAAAAAGTATATACGTAATAGGGAATAGTTCTTCTACTGATGGAAAAGATGAGCCAACACAAGAGGAAAATGTGCATGAATAACTCATGGCTCTGAAAGGTATTTGTATCGAGTCTTGGTATAACAATCTCATACAAAATTTCACTTTTTGGGATTTCTTCATCACACATTCTCAAAAAGGTCAGTATGAAACATTCTTCATCCTGGATTTAATTATGTCATCTTACGAATCCATGAATTTCTCCAACAAATAAAAGTTTTTCAATGCAAAATCGGTCCCACAGTCAAATTCATTGTGTCCCATGTACCTGCCCAATGCTACTGTCAAATTGAGTGTCATTTGTCGTTTTTCTTTTCAATAATACCATGTATCTTTCATATTTTGAATTATTATTTTCTTTCCATCAGCAATTAACTTTTTCTCTAATCCATAAAGGTATTGAAAATATACATATATCTTCTTCATCTGAAATATTGCAAATTTCAATGATTGTTTGGTATTTTCTTAATTTCAAAATTTTACAATTTATCTCAACAAAATTGGCATACAAACACCAATAAGAATATACTTCAACAAACATTTTCAAACCGTTCAAAGTTTATTGGATAGTTGTGGAAGTAATTAAATTCTTGAGTAGGTCTTGAAAAAGGAGGAAACATCAACGAGACTAGAACATTTATCATATTGCCAACTTTCAAATGATTTCTAATCCTTGTAAGAGATGAATAAAACATTACAAGAAGATGGAAATTTCTGAATATCTTTTTTACCTTATCTCCTTGGGCAGCGATTTTCTCATTCAGAACCCCACCATCCTGAACTGATCCAGCAGAAGAAGGAACGCAACCCGGTTTCCAGTCGGTGTTAGTGAGTTTTTTGTAGTCCGTTTTCAGTGCCAATAGTTTTTTCACGGCAACGTCAATATCACCTTTGGCTGCTTTCTGTTCCTTCAACTTACGAACAATATCCCCTTGTTTAATTATCTCTGCATTGATTTCTGATGCAGTTTCATGTGATGCAATTACAGTCGGATTTTTGTCAGCAGCCTAAAATTAATTTAATTTTTTATTATCACTATGTTTTTGGGTGTATGACGAAATGATATTCATCATACAAGACGTGGAAAGAAATTCTGAATTGAGAAATCTCAATCAGGAATCTGCGATTAGAGGTCTATAAAAATAACAGGTTCCATTGTTCAAGTTTAAACCCCTTTATGAAAGTATTGAAAAAGAATATTCTCAGTCATATTATGAACATGTCGTCACATAGGGATGCGAATTCTCAATGTATTTCTTTATATGATATATAGGCTGATTCACGGAGGATGGCACATTAGACGTTTCTGGTGTTGCGACGTTGCCGTTTATATTGAAAAGTAGCAACGACTTCGATTTTTTTAAATGGGACACCCTGTATATTATTCAGATTCTCCCTGAAGAGCTGATTCTATTGACCTATAACACTTGGGGTCTAGCAGTAATAAATACAGAGTTATAGGATGTGAAAAATCGAGATTTCTCAACTTTAGGAACTTTTTGTGTCGAAACTATTCATCATTGGTCAAAACGTTTTCCATGTCCCTATCTCAACTTGTCATGTACTATCAATAGATATTTAATTGAAATAGATACAGTGTGGTTGAAATACTCAATTCTGAACCACCCTGTACCTATTTCAATTAAATATCAGTTGATAGTAAATAAACAGTTGAGATAGGGACATGAAAACCGTTTTGACCAATTATGAATAGTTTCGACACAAAAAAATCTTAAAGTTGAAAAATCTCGATTTTTCACACCCTATATCTCTGTAATTGTCACTGCTAGACCCCAAGTGTTATAGGTCAATGAAATCAGCTCTTCAGGAAGAATCTGAAAATGGAATAATATGCAGGGTGTCCCATTCAAAAAATCAAAGTTGTTGCTACTCTTCAATATAAGCGGCAATTTTTTCATGTTGATAATATGTCTGCGAATATTCCTTTCCAATATTAATATGTTTATCCACACAAGAGATATTTCCCACACAAATATTGAATTCCTTATCTAAATTGCAATACTTTCAACTGATACCTACTTCGTGGAACTGGAACTACAGATCATTGCACTAGTTTACCACATATAAAGGAACTACATAACATATGGTAGTTCTCGTCTATTCGAAACAACAATTCTACCGAGGAATCCGAGAATTCATTCTCATATAACTTTCACCAAATATATATGAACAAAAAAGTGTGGCACCAGTTAGTATCAATAATCAAGGATGCATTCTCATATAACTTTCACCAAATATACATGAACAAAAAAGTGTTGCACCAGTTAGTATCGATATATATGATATGCACAATTTTAAGTGTATTTTTCTCCTAGCAGAAAAACAGTCATTTCAAAAAAGCTCAAAGTGCAGCAAAACTTTTTGATGCTGTTTATTTGATCCTGATCCGTTCAATATAGCTACATGGGAAATCAAAAAAAGCTCTTTCCTGGGAAGAAGGAACATTTTTTCTGAATATTTAAGTCAGTGTACAGGGTGTCCCAATTAAATGTATCACTCCCCCTTTATCCTTGTAATTCTCAACATATTTTGGTCATTCAAAAACTTATCTGGAATATTTTTTGACGAGTTTTTTGAAGTTGGTATGTACATATACAAGGTGATTCTAAAATAGGTGGTCAAACTTTGGGAGCATATAGAGTGGGTGAAATAGTCACGAAAACCTCCGTAAATTTTTTTTCTGAAGTGACCACCAAGAAAGATACAGCTCCTCAAAGGGGGGCCTCGGAGAATGATTTTGTATTATTATCTCCAACACCTTGTATAATGAAAATCTGAAATTTTGTCCATCCACTTACTATTCAGTGCCGGTTCGAATGGAGTTAAAATCACCTCAAAATTAAATACAGGGGTGTGTCAAAATAGGGAAGTAGGGGGTAGAAATAACCCCAACTTTTTTGTTCATCGCAATTTTAGTTTTTTGACATGGAATTATGAAATCTCAGGGCAATTAACATAGAAAAAGAGCTCTTGTTCGCTAATGGTTCATTTTATCGAGATGCAACAAGAGCACCTAGATGGAAATTCGAATAAAGTAAATTGATTTCCCGTATTCTCACAGTTGGAAACTGCAAAAACTTGCATCTTTCTCCTAATAAGGAATACGCATGATTTTTTGTTTAATCGAAATTATATTCCTTCTTCCTTATAATAACATTGGATATCATTCATTAATCTCAAATTTGCTTGTGACTCTCACAAATTTTATTTGAATGAGGCTAAATATGAAGTCACAGGAAAACGGGTTAGTGGCCATCACTAATATTATGACGTCATAGTATTAGGCCGCACAGCCATAGACTAGCGCGACAGAATGACAAGATTCAGATTGAAAAAAAAAGAAGAAGAAGAGGTAGGAGAAGAAAACAGTTTTAAACGCCCGAAATTCGAAATTTGAAAATGGAAAATAATAATGTTTATACCAAATACTGCCTAGTGCCGCAATGCCTTTCATCAACAAAAGTATCGCCAGGAAAAATATTCCTTTCATTGCCAGTGGGATCGAGTGATAAAAATGAAGAGAGAAGAAAATTATGGTTGCAAGCCATAAGTAGAAATGATTTATCCCGGAAAACCAGAGGATTTGTTTGTGAAGACCATTTCGAAGTGAATATACGTTCAAGTATGTCCTAGTGAAACCCATTATATATCAATGATTATGTTCCTCATATTATTAGGAGAATAATATAATATGTGATTTCGTTTTCAGCTTGAAGAAGATATGGAAAACTATATAAGATATAAATTGATAGGTGGTAATATATATTTGAAACAACATGCAAAAAGAAGTCCTGTTTGATCCTTCTTATTGTAGATATTTGCTTATTATTCAGTTATTATTATTCAGAATATCATATAATTGAGATAGATTATAGAAACTACAAGCTCAGATAATCATAACCCCACTTTCTCTTTTTCTCATGAATGTTTGACATGACAAATAAAAACAGCCACATCCATCAGTCGGAAATCATCGCTGCAGTTCGGCTGTTGGTCGGAAAGTTGCAAATATTATGATTTTCAATCAGAAATTATTAAATATTCGGTGCTTAATAATGTTTTTCGGATGTGTAATTCGACATTTATACATATGAGTAATGGAACAACAATATATTCCAGTGTAAAATTTTCACACGCGTATACCCTATTCTCTCAATTTGTCAAACCTTTGAAATTTATGTCATGTACGTCCGTGTACTGTCAGTTCACGCATTTTCCATCAATTTATTTGTGGTTATGTCTGATTGTCAGTGCTTGTCATAGTGTCCATAGTCTAATATACAAGTACATTAAGGAACTCTAGATTAGAACAGCAAAATGATATTTTGATGATTGTTTACTCACCTTCTGCACTGGGGCAGATTTAGCTGGGACAGCAATACCTAATGGATTGTCATTTACATGCCCATCAGGTATTGAGAACAAGATCACTGGTTGTTCTTTACAAGTATTCACACTAACAGGTCTATAGGCAACATCGACTCGGAAAAATCCACGTCTTTGCAGCTGAATAATATCTCCAGCTTTTAGATTCCTCAGTTCTGGATCACCCAACATTTGAACTTCTCTCTGAAAACATTTTTTTTTTTCATTTGTTGACCTCATTACAAACACCGATAGGTAATTACAGGTAACGGTAGTATACAGAGGACATTTACAACATCACAACTATACAACTCAACTTATAACTAGGTAAGGCACAAGCAGTCACAGACAGAAAGTTTGTGATAGTTTCACACGTCATATTTTTGTAGCTCTTTCACGTTTATGTTAAATATATCTATGTGTGTTTGCTTGAGCTCTTGATTGCATATTGATAGCATTTTATTCATTGGTGATGTGCTGACTAGATCTACCCTGAAAATATCATAATTTCTGGTACTCAAATTGATTTTGGGAACGTTTATGTCTATATACTTAATTAGATCACATTCTTTGTACTTTATATAATTTAATAGATAGTATATGAATTGCACTGCCTGTTTCTTTCTTCTGTCCAACAAACTCGTGAATTCAAAGGTTTCCAGCACATACTTATATGGGTCCATATATCGGTAAAAATTGTTTCTCCTAACATAATCGTATCAAGAACCTCTTCTGCACTTTCTCGATGTGGTCTACATGTGTGTGTGCTGAAGGCATCCAGATTTGTGTTGCATAATCTAGATGTGGTCTCACTAATGTATGATAGAGTCTGATTATTGTTTCAATTTTGAAAGATTTACTTTATAATAAAACCCAACGATTTGAATGCTTTATGTGACTGCTAGATTTTTGATTTCGATGTAACGAGATACAATCCTGTGGGGTGGATATTGTTTTGAAGAATTTGAAATCAGCGAAGAGCAATCCCATTGATTCAGAAAGGCAATCAGGAATGGAACTAGGGTACTACCTTGCGGCACTCTTGAGGTAGCTACATATTCCTTAGAGGTATTTCTGCCTACTTTTACTAGGAGTTTCCAGTTCAACAGATATGACTTAAGAATCAGAAATGTGGAGTATGATATTCCCATAGCAACGAGACGATCTAAGAGCAGCCCGCGATCAACCTTGTCAAAGGCTTTTTCACAGTCTGTATATATCATAATATATCCAGTTGTTTTTTTTTTTCATGTATTGCTTCGGAAGCATGTTCAGATAATACACAAAGATTTGAGACGGTCGATTCACCAGTTACAAAACCATGTTGAAATATAGAAATGCTTGGTTTTAGTGCACTTGTTAAACTAGTACATATGATTTGTTCAAAAATTGTTGCTATTATGTTAATCAAGTTGATTGCTCGGTAATTGTTAATTTCACGTACGTTGCCATTTCTTTTATATATAGGTGTTACCATAGCTCTTTTTAGTGCATTGGGAAATTTCGCATACTTGATATTGATAAGTTAAAAATATAGGCAAGAGGCTTTACCAAAATTTCAGCTAGACCTTTGTAAATGTATACAGGTATATTGTCTGTGCCTGTTGACTTTTTTGGTTTTAGCTTTCATTAGGGTTGTGACGTCTGAAATCTTCAAATGAGAATTTTAGTTTTCAATGATTCAAATTTAAAATATTTCATTTAGCTAAAAAGTGAAATATTAAATTTGAAACTTCCAGAAATTTCAATAGAAATTTCACAAACAACTGAAAGTTATGGTAGATTGACAACTGATGTTGATGAAGGTGACCTCAAAATGTTAGGTATTTGTCATCTATGTCAACTTTTGGATTTTTGATCACACACCCTGTATACATTTCATTCTGATGACACTCACTTTCAATCTATGCCAGTGATTGGATGTTTTCCTGTGAGCAAGAATCCATTTCACAGCTCTATTTTTAGAAAAAGTTATACAAAAGAAAAACTACTTTTGCATATTTATCCGAATTTGAAAACTGAAGTAATGACATCATTAAATTATTTTTTCCAGAATCATGCCTACATCTTGGCATACTTGAAGAGAGCTATTTTTTTCAAACAAATTTTGTGAATAAAAAAAATAAACGTAATCATAGGACTTTGTCAAGAAAAACAAATGAAAAATCCTGGAATTTGTTTCCTTTGTTCCTTTTATTCCTTTTTGTTTTCTTTTGTTTGTCTATGCTACTTATTTCATGGGTGAATATGTTGCTTGGGAGGGAGAGATGAAAACAAAACTTAGAGAACTTTACATATTTTTATGGCACAATCTTATAATTTGAATTTGTTAACGGCGAGGATATCAAATTTTGTTCCCCAAAAAATGTTCAAGCTATTTTCAAATAAGGGATATTTTGAGAAAATAAATTAGATGTGGTTGTTATGATAGAGCTGAGATATCAACTTTAGCACACTCTTTACAATGTACATGCATGATAAAATTGAGGTTGGAAGATACAAGACAGCTTTGAAAACAATAGGTAGGTTCAATATACTTGAATTTATTTCAAATCATTTTTCATCTTACCCTTGTTTCATGGCCAATATATTGCTTGAAATCCTCATCTTTACCAAGAACAGCCTTATTTATGATATGATCAAAATAAACACACCAAGCTGGTGTGAATGGAACACTTTCTACATCAGCTAGCCAAGTTAATTTCAAAGTTTTTTTATAATCCTTATTTTCTAGGTTTGTTTTTGCTTCCACATTTATAATTTTACCGTTTTGCCTAAAATAGATATTTTCAAGGCCACCAGTATATTTTTCGCCTATTTCTCACCTGTTGATTTTTTTTATGAGTAAGTTACCCCAGTTGATGAAGGTAGTGTTTTCTCCTTCCTTGAGACATTCAGCATCAACTAAATCAATGAGTATTTTGGGCCCCACCCACACTTCTTTTGTACCTATTTCTGCATTCTTGGGATGCTTTGGCACTGTCAAACATTCTTGTTTGGCACCTTCAACTAACACAGGCACAGGTTCCGAAAATTCCAAAGCAGTATATCGTGGGGCTATGGGATCGATTACCTAAGATTAAAAATATATGATAGGGATGCACCGGATCGGTTATTTTGCCGATCCGACCGGAACCGGAGTTTCGGCCGGATCGGGACCTAAATTTAAAATGTATGTGCATGCCTATTTTTATAAGTAAAACATTGAAAATATTGAGGCTGGCTTATTTTTACTTTTTTTTTTAAACTAGCTACAGTATGCAGAGTGTTAATTACCATTATTTTTACCTAGATAGAAATTACTGTTTATTAAAAAATTAATGTTTAATCAGCGTTAACAAAATTGAAACAATTCTACTCATTCAATTGGAGAATAGCAGCCATGTACCTGCCAATAATAAAAAAATTAAAAAGAAGTCGGGGATCCCAGCAACTAGTGTCTATTTTCAGAAATTGGTAATATATTTGTTGATAATAGGTGTAGGCTTAACTCTGAAGATGCCGAAAAGCTTTTATTTATTCACCATAATCTCAATAAAATAAATTATGAATACTAAGTTTCTAGTTTTTCACTATAATTTTATGTAAACTGTATACTTATCCATGACAGGCAAAAGAATTTGGCTGTTATTTTCACTGTTACAATTTGGCTGCTAATAATATTTTCAGTTAAAATTTATGTTTTGTAATTATGGAAAAAAATATATTTTGTTCAAAAAAAATTATTTGTGATTAATCAACGACTTAACAATAGGTAAGTAGGCACCAATTAAAAAAAAAACTTGAAATAATGTTCTTCATTTTTGCATATATTTGAATTTTAATTATATTAAAAATGTAAAACTTAAAAATTTCCAAAAAGTCCCGAAACAGTGTAATGATATTCAGCACAACAGAGATCTAAGCAGTGATCATTGTAAGACCATCCTCTCATTGCTGCTGGAGAGTTCAATGAACTATAGAATTTATAGAAAGAAAAATTAAATAATTAAAATGAGAAGGTCCCTACTTCACAATATGATATATATTCTCATCTGGAAGTACTATAGGTCAATTATTTTACTGGTAAATAGTGATATTTAATCCAATGGTAATATTAGCTTCTAGGTTTTGGAGTATCAGTAATTTGTATTTGTGTTTTTACTTGTTTCACTGAGTATATTTACTTTTTTGTTGAATGCCCAGATTTTATCCCATTCCATAAATACTACAGAACGACTAGATCCTTGTGCAATAATGAATTCTTTCAACCCTTGTACTGTCATTCCTCTTCTCAAAACACCTCTTACAGTAGGCATTCTAGGATCATCCCTGAAAATAGTTTTAATGAGTGTATTCTAAAGTGCCTGCCTGAAAAGTTTATTCCCTAACAAAATGAAGGATTCCTAACAATGAATATTTAGCATAAGGAATTAGAATAATTTTTATAATTACCAGCCATCTACCAAGCCTTCATTAACAAACCAGGTAAGCTTCCTCTTACTCAAAACTGTATTTGTCATGGATAACCTGCTGTATTCCCAGATATAAGGTTTTCTCAAACCTAAAGCTTCAATAAACCAATAGAATTGTGGATCCCTATCATGGTACTCCATTGTACGGAGTGTGTGTGTTACTCCTTCAATTGAATCTACTATGGGACATGCAAAATCATAGGTCGGGTACACCCTGTAAGAACAGTATGATGTAGATAACTGGGAATAGTGAATGAGCAGAACCTTACTTATATTTATCCCCTGTCCTAGGATGGGGTTCATTCTTGCATCTATAAATAGTTGGATCCCTCATGCAACCATTTGGAGATTGCATATCAATTTTTGCTCTCACACAACATTGCTGACCTTTTTCTGAGCCTTTCTTCATTTCTTCCCATAGTTTCAAATTTTCATCAACAGCTACAAAAAAATAGTTAAATACGAAATTTCTTTTTTTTATTTGAGTGCATACAGGTGCTTCTATTTATTGAATCAATTCTCTGTTCCCTTTGTGCTTTCATTGTTTCTGCTTCAGTATCATCAACATAAGCTTTCCCTTCTCTCAAAAGCTTCTCACAGTAATCCAACATCAAGTCAAAGTATTGTGAGGTATGTGTGAACATGTCATACTTGATTTGTAACATTGCCACATCTTCTAAAATAACTTTTTCAAAGTGGACATTTTCTTTGGCAGGATTGGTATCATCAAATCTCATAATCAATTTTCCTTGAAAGGCTTCTTGGTAATATTGGTTTAGTAATGCAGCTTTAGCATGTCCAATATGTAGGAAGCTGAAAATATAAAATTCTCACACACATACATAATTGAATACCACTGGAATCTTCTCAGATTAGATATTTTCACATGTGGTAATTAATGTTTTACTATTATTTTAATTTATCATTTATTTACAACAACTACCAAATAATAGTATGCTGAAATTAGAACTTACCCTGAAGCTTCAGGTGGAAATCTGACAACTACCTTGCCCATTTCTGCACCTGGTAATTCAACAAATTTTCCTTCTTGAGCTCTAGTACTAGTTTTAGAGGGTTCAACTGATAGCCTACTAGTTTTTACTGAACTTAAAATTGCAACTACTTCTGAAGGAAGAGAATTGAGTGTGTTCTGTACACAATTTTGGGCTTTCATAAAATTATACCATCTCAGGACATTGACTGGAGCTGAATTAGAAGATAGCTGCTCTGACCATTGCCTACTCACTAAAAGAAGTAGATATTCAAGAATTGCCTACTCATTCTAACTATAAGTGAGTACACTATTTACCATATAATGATGAAAACACTACAAAATCTGCAATTGTGAGACTTTTTCCAACCAAATAAGTCACAGGTCCCAGTGATCTATTCAAAATATCAAGGGCACTAACAAATTCGCCCTTTTTATTCAAGGGTCCCAATGACAAGCTTAGCCAATGATCTACCTCAGTGATTTCAGTAACAGTAGATCCTCGTAGGTCAGGGCTGAAAGAGTTCGCAATGGATCTTGCTAAATTATTACTATTACTGAATTTATTATCCACTGCCTCATCAGTCCATATAATTTCGAAATTTACTTTCTTTGAAATTTTGACATATTCGACAACAAACAGACCCCCTGAAAGAATTTTTGCTAATGAGAATGCTACACAATCATTATATACATTACAAACCTAAAGGTGGACTGGATCTATTACATGTTATTATCATAGCCATTTTATGAAGATTATAAAGAATCTGAGATGGAAATCCTCATGAAACGTATACGTTGACTCAGCACACAACTTTCGCCACGAGAAGTCCCATATGGAGGTGTTGGAGATACCAGTGATACCACTCCAAATTCTAACCAAACTTCTTTGTAGGTTACATTCTTATTTTATGATGAAATTTATCTGTATGGTTCGACTTAATCATTAGGGTAATCAGCCAGTTGAAATCTTAAACCAAGATTGGTAGAACTGATGATTATTTTGAAGACGTCGAATGCCGTCGATCGAACAGTTCGAAGCTTGAAGCGTCCTCTAGAAGTGTCTAGAAATTCTAGAAAACAATTTAGTGAGTCACGCACGGAGTCCGGAATTGGCAAAAGTCAACTGGGTAAATTTCGATAATTTAATCTTTTCTGGGATTTTCTTTGAAGTGATAATTTTATAACTATTCACTCAAATTGATTATTTTTATTCATGTAAAATTATGGAACATGGTATGTGTACTAAGTATCGAATTGATTTTCATCTGATGAAGTTTTATAATAACTATGTATAGTCAATACTAGTCGATCGTACCTACTTTTGCTATACCTATAGGTACCATGGCAGAGATGGTTGGCATAGGTACATTCGGATCGAATAATAGTTGCTCATACGTCAAACAGTGACTCAGCTCACATAGTGATAGTAATTATATAACAATAAATACCGTAGAGACCCAGCAAACACAGCTAGTTACATCTCAGAGATATCGCAGCGACCTAACCTGACCTGAGATATCGCATTCTATATGCAGCATTAACGTCGCTACGATGTCAGAGTGAATTAATTTCATCCCAATCAAGTTTGATCCATACGACGCCGCTGCGATAATAGTTCTCTGCGATATAACAGCGACAGATTTTCTGCAATGTAATTGCGATATCTTATTTGTGATGGAAAATCGACGTGTTTTTGCGATAAAACTACGATGTGATGCGAGATCTGACAGATATCGCAGTAAAACGAAAAAAAAGTGTCTTCAAACATGGTGTGATAATAGGTACACCACTGACTTCTGAAGACATCTAATATTGATTATGTGTTGTTGTGACGGGTTGGTGATCCCTCGGGTCTCCTGTCCATTCAATCGTCTTTTCTGCGGCACTATCCTTGGTACCTACGAATCTCTATCAGACTGAGATCAGTTACTCGTATCAAAAATTGTGTGTTTGATAGCAAAATGTAACGAATGTTTGCAAATTCAGCTCCAGTTTTACACCGAACAGGAATCCAAATAACAAATTCTTTAATAATCCTCGCAGATGATTTTGCTTCTGTACATCGCAGCGATGCAACATTCGTGATATCGCAGTGTAGCCTCATCACAACATCTCAGAGATGTTATTTATTTTCTATAAGAGAATCGCTATACGACTTTATAAAAAGTGGATAGATCACTGGAGTCGCAAAATATTGTTGCGACTCAGATGGAGTCCAAAATACTTCCTTTTTCAACCATGTTTACAATGTCGGTTTTCCATCTTTTCTCTTTAATTCATGATGGAAATATGGCTTATTGTATAAGAAATCTAGAGACACCCTGTACAAATGTCTAGTTACGACTTATTTCGTATTGTAATTTGAGTTGTCAATAAGAGAATATATGCATAGAGAGTGTGTGAAAAATTCTCACAGTTCAATTTTGTTTTTCGAAAAATCATTTGCTCATCCATATTAGAAATGAACAGGGTTAGTGTACAGTAGAAATTGAATAGGAAACTTTTTCAAACGGGACAGCCTGTTTATTAGGTATATCTTATTCGGATAAAAATTTTCATAACGATTTTCTACGACCACACCGCAAGGCATCCCTTTGGGAACCCGAATTCAAAGTGAGAGAGGAATCTGTTGAAAATTAGGAATAATGTTTTGGAAATAAGAACGCCCGAAGTCGTCGAATTTCATTTTCATTCGGGCATTCTTTCAAATCCAATCAATTCATAGTACCACAGAATGAATCGTGTTTGAGAGACTATAAGTCATATGGTCATCGCTAATTTTTAATGGCAATCGCATTTCACCTGAGCACTTTTATTAAACGGACGCACTGTATACAAACCCTACGTGTGATATATTTTTAAATTCCATTCATGGGAATTCCAAAAACTGAATAATATATAGGGTGTTCCCTTTGAAAAATAGTCGCGGACGTCATTACTCGAACGTGGAATACCCTGTATATTCAATTTTCCGACATAAACGTGGCAAAAAAATCAACGTGTTTCAGGATATTCTTCAGAAATGGATAGTTTGGCTAAAAATGATATATGTATACCAGGCCTATGTGTAATATATTTTCGATTTCATCTTCTCAAGAGGATTCCAAAAATTGAATAATATACAGGGTGATCCACGAGCCACGTAATTACCAAGATAAAGGGTTCACCCGAGGGTTCACCTTACATTTTCAGCCATAATGGATTCTATCTTTCCAATCGTTTGATCAATTTTCCTGAAATTTTATACACCAAGTCTACTATAATCGAAGTTGACTTTCTGAAATACCAAATGTATCAAAATTCCAGGCCCGTACTTGAAGAATTTTAAACTAAGGTCCCTTAGAAAAATAACACCCTTTACATTGAAATCTTCGATCTCTCTGCTTAATATTCCTGAAACTACATGGATTAATTAATTAACACAAAAATTTCAATAATTCATTTGGCACATCAAAATTACATTCAAAATAAAATATTGCTTTCCGAGAAACATATACCAACTATTTGATTCTTTAAAAATTCAGAAAAAAAAATTAACATACAATTTTCAAAATTCATTTCACCAACCGCCCTGTATTCTCCTACTCACTATTATGAATTCTGAATTGGATTTTGAACCATTTTTAGACTGAATTACATAACATTTATTTTTCTATCATTCGGCTTAGCCTCCAAACAAAGGGCTCAGCACCTTCATCCAACAGGTAACAACGATTGGAAGAAGGTGACCAAATATCTATAGGCTGGCATTTTCCTAATGAATTACAAGCCACAGAACGACGGTTTTCCGGATAATATTTTTTTATTTAGTGAAGCTCAATTTACACAAGACGGTATGTTTAATCCAAGAAATTCTCATGTGTGGACAAAAGAAAATCCGCACACAGCAAGACAAGCCCATTCCCAACATAAATTTTCAATTAATGGTCGGTGTGGTTTGATGAACAATTATTCATAAATTCAACCTTATGCATTTCCTCAAAAATTGAGGAGCGCTTTGTTCATATGAATTTTCTCCAAAATATTTTGCCTGGTTTGCTAGAGAAAGGAGGGCCTGATCTCAACCCTGTCAATTATTTTTGTGGGAACATTTGAAACGAAAGGACTTCATTGATCCCATTGGAAACAGAGAACAGTTGTTAAACCGTATTGAAAATTAGACAAAATCTTCAAATGATTATAATCTCGATTGGAATTTATCGTGATATTTTTTTCCTTTAATTTTTGTTCATTTTCAATTAGAATGAAATGAATTGATGATATGTTTATCGAAAAGCAATGTTTCATTTTGAAGGTACATTAAATGGGCCAAAGGAGTTATTCACTAGTTCTTTGTTCATTAATACATGTTGTTTCAGTAATAATAGGCAGATATCGAAAATTCCAATGTAAAGAGTGTCCTTTTTCCAATAGATCTCGGATTGAAATTCTCCAAGTCCGGGCCTGGAATTTGGTTACATTTGGTATTCCAGAAAATTAATTCCGATTAGTAGACTGAGTGTATAAACATTTCAGGAAAATTTATGAAGATTGTTCTATCCGTCAAAAAAATTGACATGACAAAACATTTCAGGAAAATTTATGAAGATTGGAGAGATACAAACCTTAAGGTGAATCAATTATGGCTAAGAAAGTAACACGACCATGTATCTTGGTAATTACGTTGAAAAATATGCATTTTTTTTAATGGCAATATCCTATCTACACCATAATTATGTATAGGATGTTCCATTATTTGAAAAAATTGTCACGGACACGGACATCATTACCAGACAAAGGTGGATTCAGACCTAAGATAAGTACTTTACGAAAGCACTGTAGGTCTCACAGGGTACACACGAAAATAATCAAATCCTGCGAAAATATGAATTTGTATTATGATTTTCGCCTCTGAATAGTATTTAGTTTTTTTTTCAATAATTCCAAAGAGGAAAATTTAAGATATTGCCTCTTGCCCAACTGACTTTTACCCGTAAGGTCGAGCGACCAGCAAGCGATCCACACAGAATTTTCCAGTCTGTTCGAATCGCTTCGAAAATGTTCGAGACCAATCGCGACGACTTCGCCGTTCATATAAAAGCACCTCATTTCGGCGGTCGAATCAGTTGATTTGAAAACTGCGAGAAGTGAACATTCATTCACAAAACGCAAACGAGCAACAAAGTCTTAGTATCTGTTGATACATACAAAGTATACAATATATCTACAGTGCTTAGAGAATTTCGAAGTGAATCTAGACTATATTAAAGTATCAAAATGGTGAAAGTTCCAGCAATTGGTATCGATTTGGGAACAACTTATTCCTGCGTTGGTGTGTGGCAACAAGGGAAAGTGGAAATCATCGCCAACGACCAGGGCAACAGGACGACACCCAGCTATGTTGCCTTCACAGATACAGAGCGTCTTCTCGGAGACGCTGCCAAGAATCAGGTGGCCATGAATCCCAGCAACACCGTCTTCGATGCCAAACGGCTGATCGGCCGCAAGTTCGATGATCCAAAGATCCAACAGGACATCCAGCACTGGCCCTTCAAAGTTGTCAACGATTGCGGCAAGCCGAAAATCCAAGTAGTCTTCAAAGGCGAGAGAAAAACGTTTGCTCCCGAAGAAGTGAGTTCGATGGTGTTGACGAAAATGAAGGAAACAGCAGAGGCTTATCTAGGCATGCCCATCAAAGATGCAGTCGTTACAGTGCCAGCCTACTTCAACGATTCCCAGAGACAGGCGACCAAAGATGCAGGTGCCATCGCTGGACTGAACGTGATGAGGATCATAAACGAGCCCACTGCAGCAGCCCTAGCTTATGGCCTGGACAAAAACTTGAAAGGTGAAAGGAATGTGCTCATTTTCGACCTGGGTGGAGGTACCTTTGATGTCTCCATATTGACCATCGACGAAGGGTCTTTGTTCGAGGTGAGAGCGACAGCTGGGGACACCCATCTCGGTGGAGAGGACTTCGATAACCGCCTAGTCAATCATCTGGCAGACGAATTCAAGAGGAAGTTCAGGAAGGATTTGAGAAGCAACCCCAGAGCGTTACGTCGCCTACGGACAGCAGCTGAAAGAGCCAAGCGAACACTATCATCCAGCACAGAGGCTACAATAGAAATTGATGCGCTCTTTGAAGGCACAGATTTCTATACCAAACTCAGCAGAGCCAGGTTCGAAGAACTGTGCTCTGATTTGTTCAGAGGGACTCTAGAGCCAGTCGAGAAAGCACTGAACGATGCTAAAATGGATAAGGGGCAAATACACGATGTTGTTTTAGTAGGAGGTTCCACTAGAATCCCCAAAATCCAACAGCTCCTCCAGAATTACTTCAGCGGAAAACCGTTGAACCTCTCCATCAATCCAGACGAAGCTGTAGCTTACGGTGCAGCAGTACAAGCCGCCGTTCTTAGCGGAGAAACTGATTCCAAAATCCAAGATGTCCTGTTAGTTGACGTAACACCGCTGTCCCTTGGCATAGAAACGGCAGGAGGAGTCATGACTAAGATTATCGAACGCAATTCCAGGATACCTTGCAAACAGTCTCAGACTTTTACCACTTACGCAGACAACCAGCCAGCTGTAACTATCCAAGTGTTTGAAGGAGAGAGGGCGATGACGAAAAACAACAATCTCCTGGGAACATTCGACTTGACCGGTATACCACCTGCACCTCGCGGTGTTCCCAAGATTGAAGTGGCTTTCGATCTGGACGCCAACGGCATCTTGAACGTATCGGCCAAAGACACCAGCTCCGGTAACTCCAAAAACATCACCATCAAGAACGACAAAGGAAGGTTGTCTCAGAAAGACATTGACCGGATGGTCTCCGAAGCTGAGCAATACAAGGAAGAGGACGAACGTCAAAGGCAGCGCATAGCAGCAAGAAACCAGTTGGAGGGTTATGTCTTCCAGGTCAAGCAAGCTGTGCAGGATTGTGGAGATAAGCTGTCAGCTGATGACAAGTCAACTGTTGAAGGAGAATGTGAAGACTGCCTGAGATGGCTGGACAGCAGTTCGTTGGCCGAGAAGGAGGAGTACGAGGAAAAACAGAAGCAACTGACTCGTATCTGCAGCCCGATAATGAGCAAATTGTATGGCGGAGATTCCCAGAATAACCATCAGCCTGGTGGAATGCCTGGACCTGGAAGTTGTGGTCAGCAAGCAGGTGGATTCGCGGGAAGACAAGGACCAACGATTGAAGAAGTTGATTAATTATTTGAAAAGTTTGAATGATTTTGTACAAAGTATTATACGAGGGGTAAATCACATGGGAAGTCCGGTGTACCCTAGACGGGAATTCCTTGGGAAGTCTGGGAATTCTTCGGGAAGTCCGGGAATTCTTTGGGAATTCCTTGGGAAGTCCGGGAATTCTTTGGGAAGTCCAGGAATTCCTTGGGAAGTCCGGGAATTCCTGAGGAAGTCCGGGTATTCTTTGGGAAGTCCGAGGAATTCTTTGGGTATTCTTTGTGAATAACTTGGTAGTCCCAGCAATTTTTAGAAAATTGAAGTCAAATTTCTCAACGATGTTCAGATATGAAAATGAATTTTGCGCAAAGAAAACATATATGGACTGCACAGTTTTTTGTTTCAAGACCTACTTTGTTGATTTTTTTTTGACGGAGAGGTACCGCGAGCACCGAGAGTACCTTGTCCCACTTAGAATATCATATGTTAGTCGAATTTTCATTCTCTTCAAGGTTTCCCGTTGGAATCCTGTTAATTATTCGGAAAGATGAGAAGATCGAGAAAAATTTATTTTTTATTGAACATTTTGAGTTCTGTCTGGCGATCGATTTTTCGACGACTTCCCGATATTCAATCATGCTGAAATTTTACACATATCTTTTGGTCTGGTCAATATGGGTATTATCAGATTCAATACGGTTATTATAAAGTAGAATACAATTTATAACAAAGCTTGAAATCCAATGTGGCCGCCGACAAAAAATTTCTTTTTTATACGAGTGTGCGGAAAGTTACTTTACCCCACTAGTGCTGAAAAGTTACTTTTCGCCACGATTCTTGTATTGTTGAAAATGGGGATATTTATGACTAACTAAATGATCTATGTAACTATTAAAATCTTGTTTATTAAAAACTTTTTTTTTCTCAAATAATAATAATATGGACAAAAACACTCGTGGAAAAACATTATACCTTACTCTTCTTGCGGCAAATGTCTTTTCCACAATTGACGGCTTGCCCGAACTCCGCCCCGCGTCGTTCGTGCAATAGCCGTCGCGTGCGGTAAAGTACTACTTTTCGCACTTGTTTGGTAAATAACTACTGAATTCGTTCACAATTCCCTCGACATGGGTACCGAATAAGAGAGAATGACAAGTAGAATACAAAAACCATATGACACTACTTGAAATCCAATATGGGGCCGACACAAAATGTGTTCATTGAACACTTTGAAATACCATACAGGGTGTGCCTAAAAGGTCTATACAAAAAATACCACATATTCCTCAGACCACAACAATTGAATTATATCAAATCTACCTACCTAAGTATAAAATTGCTCAGTTTGGGCGCTAAACGGCTCTGGAGAATTTTGTACCTATATACGTTGACATAGCTTTATCAAGCAATAAAACCCATATCATGATAATGATCGAAATTATGATGAATATCATTCCATGCTAGGCGTAGAATTCAATTTTTTCAGTAAATAAACATCTAGAAGGTACTCTTGATAAAATTCTATTACTCTCATGATCTCGAAAAAATTCGTAATTCTAGTAATTTAAAACATGTTGTCTACTTGTCTAGCGCTCTAACCAAGGCTCAAACTAAGCAACTTTGTACTGAAGTAAGTTTGCTTGTATATTTCGTATTGTTTTGGTCTGATGAGGAATATTAAGTATTCTTTTGTGAATACATATTAGGGACAGCCTTTATATCTTTGCAATTCTGACAAACGAGTTCACAGAAATATAAGTATGAAATTTAGCGACTTACTATGAGCCGATCTATAAACTGGTAGAGTTAGTTTCATAAACAATCTTGATATAGGGGCCAAAACTTTTATTGCTACAGACATGTGGCATAGAGAAACATCCCGAGAAACATTTTGAAGTTTTTTTGCACAAAAGCTGAAAAAATACAATATTCTCCTATTCAAAGATGTATACAATAATACAGGTAGGTATTGGAGAAATATCATCATTCACTTTATTTCAACCTTCGCTTCATTTCCTTATATTTTTGTACAATGATAGACCGATCATTTTCATTGATTGACATTTTATTGCCGATTCCTAGATACAGAAGGTTGACGTTTTGTGCACGAGAAATAATACCTAGTAATTTTTGAATGTATGATGAATTGACATTCATCATACAGGACGAGGAAAGTAATTCTGAATTGATATTTTTATCACATGGAGAATGCGAATTCTCAATGTATTTCTTTATATATATATTCATTTTTTTGTGTTCATAAATATATCTGAGAATGTTCATTTCAAATACCTAGTAAATTATTTCAACTCTTCTAATTGTTTTTTTACATAAACTTAGTCGTCTGATCTCTCGAATTTTTCCTCTTACTTTCAATTTGAATATATCAAATCTTTGCCATTTTCAATCTCTCAACTATTTTTTCTCGATAGATATTGGTACTTAACAAAAAAGTTGAACAGTGTGACCATGATAAGGTTGCGCACGAGGTTGCACAGCATGAGGGTCTCGCGAGGGATCTCGGAAACGGTAAGAGATACGAATTCGGTTAAATGAGAAAAAAATTACGCATTCCAAGGGTCATACCTGGTCATACCAATGGATTTCGAAAATTTACAAAATTGTTAATAATTCCCCATGGTTGAACTCAGAATAAAAAAAAAATTCGAAATCTGTGAACAGATAATCAGGGCCGTATTGGGAAGAAAAGTTGTTGATTTCTCTACGAATACGAAACGTCGCGTGGAGAAATCAATATCACCACGTTAAATCTCATCAAGAGATGCCATGTAAAAGTATTTTTAGAGTTTTCTATATATCTTATAATAACGTAGAAAAACAAATAGATATTCCAAAAATTCACTTTCTTTATACAAGGTGTTTCTTAAGTACGTGTAGAAAATCCAGGAGCATGTTGCTGACGTCAAAATAAGAAGAAGAGTTCGTATAAATATATGTCCGAAAGTTATTCGTTTCTGAGATACAGAGTGTCAAAGTTGAATTCTTATTTTTGTTTTTTGTTAATAAATTTCAAAATAATTGTGATATTCAAATGAATTTTGGTATTTCGGGCAGGGTTGGCAAATATCATGATATTTATATATATATCAAAATATCATAATATCGGATATATATCCGATATATATCAGAAATTTCGATTTTGTTCCTAGGCTGATATGCCAAAAAAAAAACACACTATAAAATACCTTTATTTTGGTAAAAACAAAAATCAAACTTCAGTTTAATTCTCGGTTTAACTTGAAATAACAAAACACGAAACAAAAAATAATATTTTTCCGAAAATATGTAATATATGGTAATATAAAAAACTTGTCGTTTGATAAATTTTTAAGGATTGCAAAACCGAGAAAGAGGAATATAATCATCATTATCAATATTATCATCTTCACTCAAGGCAACTAATTCATCATTCGACGAGATCCAGTCCAAGCTTTTGGCTTTTTTATCTGTATTTGGGTTTAAACATTTAAAAATAAATACTAGCTTACTGGCTTTTTCGTTGCCTAGACGATTTCTCAATTTAGATTGAACTATTCCAAAACTCGAAAAAATTCTTTCTAAACCAGCTACTGCACTGAATAACTGCTCACATAGTTGTAAGAAGAGTTCTTTTTTTGGCCATTCGGAGTCAGGAATTGCAACCAATTTCTACCAAATCATTGTATGCGTGAGGCCTGTTCGTTTGTATTGCTAAACTTGCTAAAGTTGATTCTTTTTCCATAGTTGTCTCTGTTCATGGCATGATGTAAACAAAGTAAGTCATAGAAAAAAAATCGAGTTCAGCAGGTAGAGCAAGGACAAACGAACACGCCTGATGTACCATGTACCTAACAAGCAGTAAACAAAAACCGGGGATTCCCCGAGTTGTAAGTTATAACCACGAAACGCCGCAAAATATCAAGGACTTTTTGCTCCGGTATTTATTTTGTTAAAAAGAAGTAAATGATATATATCATGATATATATCAATCAATAAATATCAGATATATATCATGATACATATCATGATATATATCACTTGATATATATCGGCCAACCCTGATTTCGGGGTATTTTTCGATGACAATATCAAATGTTATGTTAGTTCATCTCTTTCGTGAGGGTGGCGGCACCTACATGTCTTTTGAGTCTTTTGAAAAGTCACAACTTTTTTGTGCGTACCTGTATCACGTTCTATAGTAGGAAAATAGTTTTCTAGAACACGTTCGTGTAAAAACCATATTCTTCTGCGAGCAACAGTTTTCGAGTTATTGGGATTTTCAATAATCGATGCAAGTAATTTGGAATGACGAAGAAGTAGGAATTCAAAATTGAATGAAGTAGGTAAGGACATTTTTTTTTTTTTTTATTAATACTGATAATAATAACTGTAATTAAGACCAAATAAATACTAAAACAGTTAGTTGAGGGAATTGATTAAAGTAATTGTTCAAAATGGCCAGAAAAATAGATACAAAGAAGTAAGAATCATCATTTGGCTACATTCCAATGTTGAATTGTTGAATGGAGGAGAATATTGAATGAAAGAAGAAAAATGCACTGACATATCTTTTGTAACTGCTTAGAGTCGACTTACGAGCCCAATGGAATTAATTCAAATGCATCGATTGTTTCAAATCCCAATATCTCGAAAACAGTTGCTCGCATCGACCTCTACCAAGAATATACTTTTTACACAAAAATGTTCTAGAAATCTATTTTCTTACTATAAAACGTGATACAGGTACGAACAGAAAAGTTATGACTTTTCAAAAATCAAAAGACATGTAGGTAGCGCCACCCCCACGAAAGAGACAAACTACCAAACTTCATTCGATTATCACAATTATTTTTGAATTTATTAACAAAAAACAAAAATAAGAATTCAACTTTGACACTCTGTATCTCAGAAACGGATAACTTTCGGACATATATTTATACGAACTTTTCTTCTTATTTTGACGTCAGCAACATGTTCCTGAATTTTCTACACGTACTTAAGGAACACCCTGTATAACTGAAAAACTAAAAACAATTGTGAAAATTTTCCAAAGCCGTTGGTATGATCATCAAAATGCGCAACTTGTTTCCCATTTATCCGAATCCGTTTTTTTTTCCTGTACCCGAGATCCCTATATTACCTTATCTTGGTTTCACTATACAGGGTGGGCCACCAGTAACGCCTCGGTCTCTAGAAGGCTAACCACTTATCTTCTTGGAATTCTTCCTCCCTAGGAAGTTGCATGTCAACATAGGCTACCATCTAAAATTATTTCGAAACATACAGGGTGTCCCCAAAAACCATAAAACACTGAAGTTAAACTTTTTTCTATCGAACACCCTATATATTATTTCATTTTGAGATTCTCCCTTGTAAGCTGATTTCAACAATCCATCATACTTGGGGTCTAGCAGTTATAATTACTGAGATATAGGGTGTGAGAAATCGAGATTTTCCAAGTTCAAGTCAAAACGGCTCACATGTCCCTATCTCAACTTTTGATCAACTATCTACTGACATTTAATTGAAACAAATACAGGGTGGTGCAGAATTCAGAATCTTGATCACCCGGTATATGTCCCAATTAAATACCAGTAGATAGTTGATCAAAAGTTGAGGTAGGGACATGTAAGCCGTTTTGACCAATTATGAATAGTTTCGATACTACTGGTATTTAATTGGGACATATACCGGGTGATCAAGATTCTGAATTCTGCACCACCCTGTATTTGTTTCAATTAAATGTCAGTAGATAGTTGATCAAAAGTTGAGATAGGGACATGTGAGCCGTTTTGACCAATTATGAATGGTTTAGACACAAAAAATTCTTGAACTTGGAAAATCTCGATTTTTCACACCCTATATTTCAGTAATTATAACTGCTAGACCCCAAGTATGATGGATTGTTGAAATCAGCTCACCAGGGAGAATCTCAAAATGAAATAATATATAGGGTGTTCGATAGAAAAAAGTTTAACTTCAGTGTTTTATGGTTTTTGGGGACACCCTGTATGTTTCGAAATAATTATAAATGGTAG